GCTTCAGTGTAATGGGTGGATGCACCAGAAGGAAAGAGATGGTGTTTCCAGTGACATCAAGAAAGCCAGTGCTAAGGAAAGGGTCAGAGAGTGGGTGACACCAAGAAAAAGCCAATTCTGACCACAAGAGAAAACGATTATCATTATTTGAAAGCATGACCTGGCACTCATTGACCAAAGCCTTTGGTAGAGAAAAAAATAAAATAATAACCTCCTGCCACCTTGAGGTTCATTTCAGTTACAAAACTGACGTCAAACAGTCCTGAAAATGTCTTGGACCTGACAAGTGAGTATTGGTATCGGCAAGTCACACTTCACAAATATCAGAAATCTCTGCATCTCTACTGGCCACACGGTGAAACAATGTTTAGTTTGCTTGCCTTACCACCAGGAGATCAGTGGTTCGACTCCCACTGTTAATTGATGGTGTTTCTGTGTGGAGCTCTCTTGTTCTCCCTGGTTGTACGTGGGTGTTCCCCCCCCCCCCCCCCCACTGTCCAGAAAAAAATGCAGAATTTGCCTAATTGTTTGATGTAAACTGGGCCAAAGTGTGAATGTTAGTGTGAATGGCTTCTCGTCTCTATATTATTATTACCCTTCAAAAGACGAAACTTCATCCATCCTATACACGGCTGACATCATCATCAAGTAATAAGTACATTTAGTCAGTAAACATATGGGATAGTTTTAGATGTTTATGGAATGATAAACAGGTTATTACAGGCATGGTGGGCCGGATGCGGGGCGTTTGGCTTTTTAATCCGGCCCACCAAACTTGTCCAAATTACATTATTAATTTATATGATCATTATATTTCTGCTTTTTCCCTGCAGCGCCCTCATTTCCACATTAAAAGGTGTTAAAAATGCTAAAAAAATTGTCAAATTTTAGGTCCCATTGTGGCCCGCAAGTCAAAAAGTTTGCCTGGGTTATTAGGTCAAGTGATACAAAAAAGGTTTTTTACTTGGGCTGCTATTGGAAACAGTTGCACAAGTGAACAGAAGAACCGTTACTAGTGTTTCATTTGAATCCATGTTTGAAGTCACCCCTCAAACGCCCTCACCCGCCCCTTTTCTCTCCCTAACACATGCACACAAACACAGTAGTGGTGCGACACAGTGGTCGTCTCTGATAACAACCTCATCCATATTTTACAGTCTGTTTGTGTGGGAGTAGATGAGGGGTGAAAGGAGCAGCCATGACTTTCCTCCACTTCAACATCAATAATGTAAACTCTTAACTGTCCCTCAGCTGCTTCGTTACAGTTGTGAGGACTGTATGCAGAAGGGAAAACTATCACATGGTTGTCTGACTCACAACACACAAGCTGCACAGATAGAATGTTCAGACCTCCAACTGGTTCTTTGTTAGCTTAAGAACACTCGGTCTCTCTGTGTCACAGTTATATTAAGGACTACATGGAGGAGAATCAGGTCTGGTCTTTGGGCTTCATCCATCTCTTCTCACAATCTGTGGCCTTCCTGATTCAGGGCCGATTTTAACTGATTATCTGGTGAGATAATTCTGTACTATGGGAGGTTAACAGACATAATCCCAGTGTCAATGCCTGGATTAGAGTTTCCCCAGTAGCGAGCTGCAATTTTGGGCAAAACACAAAAACAGTGAGCCGACTACGAAGCTTTACATCCATTTAGTGTAGGAAAGGCACAGCCCTTCATCCATTACGTTGATGGAGCTTACCATCAGAGGGGAACGTGGTGTGTCCCATGTTCTGTAGAACTTATGAACTGAGCTCACTTTGTTGTATTAGTCCTGTTCAACAGCATATTAGACCAAATTTACTATGATCTCCCCTGAAAATCTTTCTCGTGACAGCATTGTGTTTCTGATGGCTTTAAATCTAAATACAGTCATTATGACAATCAAAACATGTGGGTTGGGTTATGGATACCTGCACTTTATTTTTCTTCAGCTATTTAGGAGCTTAAATATTCAGAGGTTTCCCAGCAGAACATAAATAAAAGGTGAAACATCTTCCAAACACCTGAGCCAGTCCACGTAACACCAGCTAAACTTCCCAGGAGTGCTTGTCTTGACCATCCATAGCTGTGGGTTGGCACAAAGCTGCAGTGGTTGATGGGTGACCTGGGTATAACTTGGGTAAGGCCCAACAAGTGGTGAAGAAAATGGAATTCTATTTCTGATGCAACCTTTTCCACTTACTTGAACCGGCTACTTTGTGGGTGCATCATAAAAATCTTCATCTCACTCTGTCACTCTAGCCATTGTCTGGCTGGAACCAGAATAGACAGCCTTATGACCAACCAACCAATTGGGTGGAAGATAGAAGCCAAACTTACTGGTCTAGAGCCACTGCTGAGAAGCTGAAGTGTAAATATTGTACGTATGAGCGTGTAACTGATGTAGTCTGTGGAAACAGAGAATTGAATCTTAAAAAATACCAGACAGGAGTTTCAAAAATAAAGTGTTGGCAGGAAAACCATTGCATAGTTGTGCAGGAGTTTGATGACAGAAAAGGAAAGTTAGCTGGATCAGTGAAACATGGTTCTAAGACTCTCTGACATACCTGCCTGGGACAAAGGTGTTGGAGTTGTCTCTGCAAGTACTAGCAGAACTCATTTAAGGACTTTTCTTACACTTTTCTCTAAATAGGTAGAAACTGCTGAGGAGTTTGTTATTTTAGCAAATGAGGGAATAACTGCTGCCTCACTTTTCAAGGGTCTGAGCTGAACGCGTGTGTGTGTGTGTGTGTGTTCCTGTAGAACATGTGAACAAGCGTGGGTGGAAGGGAATGTGGTCACAGCCGCCCCAAATCAAGGTCTGAGCTGAACGCGTTGTGTGTGTTCGTGTGTGTATGTGTGTGTATGTGTGTGTGCAGGGCCTCGGGGACAAAAGTGAAAACAAGCT